CCACAAAGTCCCCATTCCATGATGTCGTCATTGCCCCAGGGGAGCCATCAGGGCCTCACCTGGGCCTCTGGCTGAAGCATCTGTCACACACTTTGTTCCAGCCTATGATGACCCCTCAGAGCCAGGGCCATGGTATGGTCTTACTCTAACCTCTATTCCTCCCTGGGTCCCCCTGGGTCTCCCTCACCCAACTCTGCTTTCCTATGCCCAAACTCCTTGGTGATTTCCAGATGCCCATTGCTCCACCAGGGCAGCAGCTGGCTGGGTGGATGGTGGCAAGGACACGGAATCAGAGTAGCCTTCTTCTCTACACCTGGTGCCCCCTTCCACCTGTTGCCGTGGCCCCACCACAGTCCTCCACACAAAGACAGGGCCTTGGCTGACTGCCCTGCGCCTCCAGCCTCTTTATTTATTGCAAGGCCTTTGAGGGGGTCAGTGCTAACCTCCCCATCAGGGCACAGGGGTCCGGAACCCCCCTCCAGTGGTAGGTGTCCTTGGGAGACACCTCACTGAGCGCCCGGCTCCTGTCTCCTTCCCCTTTCCTTTTCCTGGATCCCAGCGGTGCCCCCAACCCATCTTCCCATCTGCCTCTTGCCCTATCCAGTCCTATCTCCCCCACCCCCGGTTCTCTCCATCCCTCTCGTCATCTCCCCTTTCTCCGTCTCTGACCTCTCTCCATCACTCCCGCTTGCGGTGTCTCCACCGTCTCTCTTCTTCCGTCTCTCACCCCTCCTTTCTCCCCGCCCTCCAACTCCTCCTCACCCCAGCACCGGCAGAGTGTCCGCGGAACTCCCTCCTGCCTCTGCGAGGCTGCTCTAGTCCCCCGGGTTCACACGGACCGCGGGCGCTCCACCCACGTGGCTGGGAGTGGGACCTGGGCCGGGCCGGGGAGGGGCACTTGGTGCGGGCCAGAGCGCAGGGCGTGCCCAGGAGTGAGTCGGGGAGCTGGGGTCTGACTCCGGGGAGGGTCCAGATAGGGGAGACAGGCAGAAGATTTCTGGGGTGTCTCTTGGAAATCCTCTCAGGTCCGAGTCCTATGGGAATGAACACAAGCTGGGCACGCCAGGCTCCCAAGCCGCTTCACTGGCACTGCCCAGGCTGGAGGGACAAGACGCCAGAGGCGCGCTTCCCCGCAGATCCTGTAGGGGGCGCCACGCGCTTTCCCGAGGCCAGGGCGCTCTACAGGAAGCGGGTCCGCCGCCCCTCACCCAGGCATCGACAGGAGTTGTCGGGGCCCAGGTGGGGACCCCCAAGGCTAAATGGCTCCGCGGCCAGATCCACAAGGAAATGAGGGGTATTCAAAAAACACCTGGAGTCTCCCTGACTTTGCCCCCGGCCAAAGGGACGGGAGATGCCCCCACAGTGGGAGGAGAGGGGAGAGGAGACCTCGCCTGCCCTCCCCCGGCACACGCACACATGCGCACGCGTACACACACCCACCCACACACACAGGCACGCGCTCACACGCACGCACACGCGCTCACGCACAGACTCATGCCGCGGCTCCAAGCACTGACTATCAGGTGCAGACCCTGGGCACATCGCAAGGCGACAGGTGGGCAAGGAGGAGGAAGAGGTGGGGACAGTGTAACAAGGCCTGGGCGTGGGGACAGGGGTACCCTGTTCAGAGGTGACCTGCAAGTTCAAGTTATGCAGAAAAGTATCAAAGAGGCAAGACAGTCTCTGCCCTTGGCAGATGCCTGGGGTGTGGGGGGCATGAGAAGGGGCAGAAGGGGTGATGCATCCCCTAAGTCCCCACCTTTGGGAACCCCTTCCCACCCCCAACCCTGACAACAGGGCCAAGAAGTCTGTGCTGTACAAAACAGGCCAGGGTCAAGGGTCCAGTCACTGGAGAGATGTCCCAGCAGAGAGGAGGCCAGGCTGGCCCAGGCTGAGCAGTTCCAAGCTCCAGCTGCACCCTCCACTGCTCCAGAGCCTGAAAGTCTTTCCTCAGACTCTGGGCCAGTCAGGGCCCCAGTCTGCCCGCTAACCGGGAGGCCCCCTGCTTTCTCCCTCGGTGCATCTCAGAGTCCTTTGGGAGAGCTGGGAACAGGCTGGAACAGGGGCAGAGCAGGCCCTGTGGAGACTGGTGGCACCTGGAGCTTTGTGGCAGAAGTGGTGGAACCATCATTGGCAAAAAAAAAAAAAAAAAAAAAAAGTAGGAAAGAGTTGGGCCCATCCTGGGGCAGTGTCTAGAATAAATTTCTGCAGGAGGCAGGGACCAGAGGAGGCAAGGCTACAGCCAGGCAGCAGCCCTCTGAGAGGCTGGGAGCTGGAACTCCTCTCTCCCCTGGGGATCTGCAAGGGCCTCTAGGCCAGTCTAGAGGGAGAGAAGCCCAGAAGACCTGGGTGACATGGGCTCCCTTAGGTCACCTTGAGGGATGAGCCAGAATCAGGCCCTCCCAGGGACTGGAGGGCCTCTCCCCTCCCCCAGGCTGAACCCCAGCCCCATCCTCTCTTCAAAGCCTGGAGGTGGCAGGCGGGTAGTAGGTGAGTACTCAATCTGAGATCAGGATCTTCCCTCAGATCTTGAATAGAGGAGATGAGCGGAGAGGAAACAGGACAAGCTGAGGTCAGGCCAATTCCTGGGCTGTGGTCCTGGCCTTCAGGGTCCCTGTGAATGAGCCACGGGGCAGGGGAGGACTCCCCATCCAGAGACATCGCCCCCTGGCCGCAACACGGAGCTTACTGTAGAGCTCACAAAATCTAAGAGAGAGAGAGAGAATCAGAGAAAGTCAGAGACCTCCAGGGCATCAGGACATTCTATAGAGCAAAACTAAGCAGAAGTTCAAGCTGCACACTCTGGGAAATCCCAACCAAGCTCTGAGCAGTGGCTGGAGTAAGCCATTCCGATTTCCTCATCTGTTAAATGGGGATAACTGCAGGGTAATTCTGAAAGGTCAACAAGGGACAAATTTTGCCAGCCAAAAGGTTACACATAGTATATGCTGGAAATGGTAACAATTCTTTTTATTTTTTATTTTTGTTCTAAAGGTCTTTGGCTCTGAACTGAACTGTGGGGCTCATTCATCTTGAACTCCCAGTAAGGGATGGAGATCCCCAGCTGAAGGAAGGCAAAGTGGGGCTCCATTACACTAACTTTTATTTTTTTCTGCTCTATAAGAGAGCTTTAATTATATCACCTTTTAACACTGAGTTGCTAGGGAGCTACTGGGAGGGAGGAAAGGGATGCTAAGTGAGCACAACTCACCACAGCTGCATCCCAGAAACCTAGAGAAAGGCCACAGAGTCTGGCACTTCTGAAAGCTGCCACCAGAGGGCAGACCCTGCCCTCGGACTAAGAGCACAGAAACCCAGAGGTCTGAGGGTCTCCATCCCAAGGCCCCTCTGAGTACAGGTTAGCAGACCAGCTGCTAGGTCTGGCCCCCAAGGGGGCCTATACAGAGGGCAGAAAATCTCTGGCCTTACCTGGATGAAAAGCAGGGAAAAGTCTGGGCTTTGGTCTTGGGCCTGGATTCCAATCCTGCCTATGTGAACTTGAGCAAGTTATTGGAGCTCTCTGAGCCTGGGCTTTCTTTCTCATTTGTAAAATATGGTTTCAATGCCTGATGGGGAGTTGGAAAGACTGACAGCTTTGAGTGAGCAGTCACCATGTGCCAGACCCAGCCTGCCATTTTACAAGCAGGCATGTGACAGCCCTGGAAGGTGGTACTGTTCTCATCAGCTTCATTTTATGAAATGCAGGAAACTGAAGCGCAAGGTTAATTTCTAAGCTCAGCCTGCTTCCAATATACAATCTGCCTTCACAGTCCATTAGTTCAACCAAAATACTAAACTACCTTCTGCCAAATGACATAACACAGCTTATACACTATTGCATTTAATCCTCACTGCCCTTATTCCCAATTTACAGGTGAGAAACTTGATGAATATAATTAAGGTAGTGTGCTCAAGGAAGGGTGTGACTATGAAGGTTACATCTCCCATTTCTCAAAATAAATAATGTACACCCAGGCAGAAAAGTGTCCACTGATGCAGTTTCTCTGCTTGCTCTGGGGACAGGATGGGGCTCTGGGTATGAAGACTCTGCTTGGCACTGCCCTTTTGGAAAGCCATCTGGCACTATCATTACAGTTTTAAGCACACAATTCCCTTTCTGGAAAGACACCAGGAAAAAACTTGCACATGTGTATGAGAAGGCACTATTATACAAAGATGTTCATTGTAGCGTTATCAGTAATAGGCAAAACCTGGAAACCTCCCTAACAGCCCCTGAAAGGAGAATAATTAAATAAACTACAGGTCCTTCATCTTATGTTATAATAATGTTTATAGAGGCATAGAGGAGGGTCTAATAACAGCAATTACCATTGAGGCTCTGACCTTATGTGTAATTTTTCCTTTATTGCATTTCAATGCTACTTGATATATACAAAAATTTACAGATTTTTATCAGATTGCTTTATACTTAGTATAAAGCAATGGTGATAATCTCCAGTGAACTCCCCTTTTAAGAATTATAACTCTGCCAATAGTTCACATAGATCTGGGTACCCCCATCTCATAGTGCTGACTTCCTCCTTTTCTAACAGATGACTTCCCTCTCCCTGTTGGTATTGTTATCAAAATGCAGCCACTCTGTTATAGGTACCTGAAGTGCATTCATTTTCACAGTTGCTAACTACTCTGTGATGTGAACACACACACCTCTAGTTAGCTAGCCATCCTCCTGTCCAAGGCCATTTAGCTTGTTTGTAATTGCTGGCTGTAGGGAACCTGCTGCCACCCACATTTTTGCAATTCTCTCATGAGTAAGTCTGTTGGGTCATAGGTGTGCAAATGATCAGATTTGAAGGGAAATGTCAAGTCGTTTAAAAGGTGGTTGTGCCATCTGTAAGGTTTCCAATTTTTGCATCACTTTTATTATGTAAAAATTTTAGTAAAAATTAAGTAAAAACTTATTTGAAATTGTCCTGGTCCAGGAGGAGCAAGTGTGGACCAGGATCAGGACTCCCACTGCCACCCTCCTGCCCGCAGTGTCACTCGCCTTTGTTCTCCGGCTTGAGCTCCTCCTGCAGCAGGTCTGTTTGCCGGTTGCCCAGCACGAAGGCGAGGAAGGAGAGAATGAGGGCATTGAGGATGCCGATGATGGCCAGGATGTACGCCCAGCGCACCGAACAGTCCCCCAGGGAGTACTTCCCTGTCTTGGCCCCGCACATGTCCCGGATCGTCTCGGCGTCCCAGCCATCAGGGAAGATCATGCAGCCCAGGACAAGGCACAGAGCTGAGGGGCGCAGGCGCCGGGCCCACCACCATGGTCAGGAGGAAGAAAGAATGGATCATTACTTCCCAGCATCCGAGGACACCAGAACTCAGCAGTCCCACTCTGCCCACCAACCCAACCAAGTGCTTGTAAACCACTTCCTGGGGCGTGAAGACAGACACACAGGGATCTTGGATGAGCCTCTTGCTCCAGAAACAGAAACTTTTTGGAACCCTCAATGCCCTCTTTCTCCCCCCCATCAAATTGACTCCTCCTCCAGGAAGCCCTGAGGGAAATATGAGAAAACAGCAAACCACAGCCACTTCTTCAGCTCTCTCTAGCATCCTGCCCATGTATACTCTTTGCTGATCTGGCCATTCTTTCACAGGTTAATCGCTCATTCAACAAATGTTTCTTGGGCACCATTTTCCTTTCAAAATGATGGAAATACACTCTCATTCACAGAGTTGAGCACGGTGCTAAAAGCACAGACTGTGGAGCCCGAACCATAGTGTTTAGTCTGGTGGACCCTCTTACTCAGTTGGATGACCTTGGGGCTGCTGCTGAACCTGACTGGCCTGTTTCTGTACTGTGAACGCCATGGTACTTACCTCACAAGGTGGGTGCCGGGATTAAATGAAACAATGCTCGTAAGATATTTAGCACAGTGCCAGGCACTCAGGTGGTATTGAGTGCATACTGTGTGCCAGGCCCTAGACCAGTGTGTGGGGGTTGAGGGTGGAGGGAAGATACTTGGACTTTAGCATCATAGAGCTTGCTGTGTACAGTATAGTGTACAAAGTGGTTTAAAAGGCTGGAGCTCAGCTATTTTCTAGATGCTTGACTCTCATGAATTTCTTCACTTTTGAGCCTCATTTTCCTCATAGGTACAACGGAGACATTGATGATATCTTCAAGCAGTTGCAAAAATGACAGAAGAGAGCTGGACACAGTGGCTCACGCCTGTAATCCTAGTGCTGTGGGAGGCCAAGGCGGGCAGATGGCTTGAGCTCAGGAGTTCATAAGAGTGAGACCCCATCTCTCTAAAAATAGAAAAACCGAGGCAAAAATCTTAAGCCCAAGGGTTTGAGGTTACCATGAGCTATGATGTGGCATGGCACTCTACCTAGGACAACAAAGTGAGACTCTGTCTCAAAAAAAAAAAAAAATTCCATAAGGCAACAAGTGGCTCAGTGCCTGTGGCTCAAGTGGCTAAGGCACCAGCCACATACACCTAAGGTGGTGGGTTCCAATCCAGCAGGGGCCCACCTAACAACAATGACAGCTGCAACCAAAAAATAGCCGGGCGTTGTGGCGGGCGCCTGTGGTCCCAGCTACTTGGGAGGCTGAGGCAGGAGACTCGCTTGAGCCCAGGAGTTGGAGGTTGCTGTGAGCTGTGATGCCATGGCACTCTACCCAGGGGGACAGCTTAAGGCTCTGTCTCAAAAAAAAAAAAAAGAAGGCAACAGTGTCAAGTGCTTGGCACAGTAAGTCCCAGATAAATCTTGGCTGATACTGTCAAAACTAGTCATAATCGTAAAAATAATTACACAAATAAGAAAATAATAAGGAGAGTTGGTTTCAGGGGAGAAGGACAGAGATAGAGAAAAGAAAAATGAGCAGAACAAGAAAAGTCTTTGAAATGACTCCCTAAGCTAAGCAGGGTGGCCCACGACTGCAATCCTAGCACTCTGGGAGGCCAAGGTGGGAGGATCCCTTGAGCTCAGGAGTTCCAGACCAGCCTGAGCAAGAGCGTGACACACACACAGACACAGTCTCTACTCAAAACAGAATAATTAGTCGGGCATCGTGGCTGCGCCTGTAATCCCAACTGCTCAGGAGGCTGAGGCTGGAGAACGCTGGAGCCCAGGAGTTTGAGTTCGCAGTCTAGCCCAGGCAATAGAATGAGACTGTCGAAGGAAGGAAGGGAGGGAGGGAGGGGAGGAGGGAGAGAGAGAGGGAAGAGAAAAGGTTCCCTAGATAGCGCCCACCCTCTGCGAGTTCAGGGACACACCTCTACCCAAAGCCAGACAGGCAAGGTTCTTCCCCAGCTCTGCGGGAACCCGAGCCTCAGCCAATCAGCATGCTGCATTGCTCTGGTACCAGAGATTGGTTCAGAGAGGAGTGCACGCAGGTGTCGCGGGCCAGTCAGAACCATCCGGGTTCAGCGGTCTTCCCCTCTGCAGAGGTTGACCCGGGCCTCGGACCCTGACTCCGGCTGCAGACTGGAGTGGCTTCCTATTTAATATTTTTCGGTCTAGTCTGCGCCTGGGTTGCCGTGTCTGAGACCTGAAGGTTCCACAGTGCTCTGGTTGGAACCATAAGGCCCTTGACCCCGCGCCAGACCCACAAGGTGCTTAACCTGAGTTTTAAACGATAGCTATGACACACGGGATGTGCCAGTCATTTCTGCCCACCGTCTATGTGGCCCAGACAGCCCGCAGGGTGCCAACTCCCTACCACAGCTACAATGCAAGGGAGTTGCCCTAGGTGCCAGACGTCTCCGGCCTCCAGCAGGTCGGGCCCCCTCCCCAGGGCGATGCTGCGGATGCCTCCCCAGTCCGCCTGCACGACCCGGGCGCGCTCTGCATCAAGACCCGGCGCTGCGATCACACACGCACTGTAGCAGGCTCCCTCCCGTTTCCAGCGGTACCGCTGCCTAAGGGCCGGGAAAAGGGTTCCAGGCAAAGGGGATGGCAAATGCAGAAGCCCTGCAGCGGGAATGAGTTAGGTGAGTTACAGAATCAAACGACGTTGAAGATGCCGGTTAGAGACTCGAGTGCAGAGGAGCAAAGGGGAAAAACCAAGGATGGCTGTGCGCTGGGCGGTGGACGCGGATATAGCTGAAACTGAAGAGAAAGCTCAGGACCGCGCCCTGTGCGCTCCAGCCTTAACCGGGCGGGAAGAGGATGAGGGGCCGCCGATCTCTACCCTTTCCAGATCCTTCAGGACCGTGTCAGGGAGGGGAGGCGGGTCAAACGCCTAGGATGGGGGCGGGGGAGATTAGGAGCGATCGCAGCCCTAGCCCTTTGCCTCCCCCGCTCCTTCTCCAGTCCCCAGGGAGCCTTTCCTGTGTTCCGGCTTCCCCGTCCCCGGCTCTAAACCTCCAGCCTACAGAGGGCATCCCTGTCTCCATGGAAACCACGCCTGTATCCCAACGCTTCCAGTCGCACTCCCTCGTACCCAGCGCTCAGGCCTCAGCGGGGTTTTCTTTGCACTGCGCCTGCTCGCGCTCTCCGCCCGTCTCGAGCCGCGAGTCTCTCCATTCCTTTCTCTTTTCTTTATCACTCTATTCATCTTTCTTTACACCTGCCTCTTCTCTCTCTCTTTCTCCTTCCTTCTCTCTCTCTCTCCCCGCTCCCCCCGTTTTGTGCTCAAGTCTCAGTTTCCGCCCACCCTTCCCTCTTCGTTTAGATGTCGCGGCATCTCTTATTTTCTCTCGTTTTACTCTTTCTCTCTTCTCTATATCCATCCCCTCACCCTGTCCTGTCTAGCTCTGCTTCTCCCTTCCTACACTCCACAGATAAATTTCTGAGGGCCTGGAATGTGCCAGGCACTGTACAGAGTGCCAGGACACAGGCAGGTACGGTGTCTGTCCTCAGGAGTAGAGGCATTTGGAGAGGAATGAAATCAACAGGTCAACACACAGAATGATTATAGGCGTCAAGGAGCGCCTCGAGGGAAACAGACCCGAGTAACAGGCGAGGCCAGAGGAGGCTGGAACTTTCACTCTGCCTGCTCTGCTCTGCAGGGTTTCAGATGGTGGCTAGGAGGCCCCAGAGGCCCCTGGCCCCAGAAACACCCAGAACCCAAACAAATGGAGCAAAGTCAATCAGCTGAGCTTCCCTGGGCCCTGGAAGAGTTGGGGATAGTTTAGGGCAGGGAAGTCACCCCAGAGGTTTCCCCATCAGGAGATGAGAGGACTATAGACAAGGCAGGTTTCAGCATCTCCATTTGCTAGATGAGAAAACTGAGGTTGAGGTCTTTGGATTCCAAGTTCAAGCCTCTTTTGGAAACAACTGGTAAAAGAGTCAGCTGCTGCTGAGGCACAGGCAGGGGCGCAAGGGTCCAGCATGGGACAAGGGTTCTCAGCCTCAGTGTTTCTGACATTCAGGCTGCCTAAGTCTTGGTGGTGAGGGCTGTGCTGGGCACTGTGGGATGTTTAGCACCATCCCTGGCCTCTACCCGCCACACATCAGTGGCACTGCCTCCCATAGTCATAATGAAAGTCTCCAGATGTTGCCAATGTCCCCTGCTGGGAGAACTATTCCTGGTGAGAACAACTGGTGTAGGGGCCCGGGCTCTAGGATAGGGCATCTCCATCCAATTACCCCCAAGTCCACTAACAGTCCCTGTTCCAAGCAGCCAGAAGTTGTTCTGATAAAGTTAAGATGATATGACTATTACTAATAATGTGATAATGTTAAAAATAATTTTGAGTGCTTAACTCTGTGCCAGATGCTGAGCTCCTGACATTCAAAATCTCATTCATTCCTATAAAAAAAAAATCTATGAGGTGCAAAATACTGTCACCTTCATTTTACAGATGAGGAAACCAAAGCTCAAAGGAGCCAGGTATTTTATCCAATGTCACAACAGCCAGAAAGTGATAGGATCTGTATTCAAACTTTGATAGGCCCTTACTTAATATTTTTCTTTGAATAAACTTTTTAAACTTAGATGCATATAATAAAAAAGTAAATTTAAGTCACTTTCAAAGAAAAGGAAACCAGGATTATTTGCCATAAATAGAAAGACACTATAAATGTAAATATATTGAAATCCAAACAATGTTCTTAGATTCTAGCTAGATACTTTTGTCTACCAGATGCCCTGGGCCTGAGGGCTGATCATTCTTTGTTTAAAAGACACATTAGTAAATGTGAGAGAAGTTAAAGACATATTAGGCCCAAAGCACAGGAACAGGTGGGCAAAGCCTCCTGGCTTATCCCAGCTGGAACTGCACGAGAGGCCCAGATCTGTTCAAATATATGAAAACAAAAACACATAGACACTGAGAC